TTATGGATATAGGGGAAAAAAGTCTGCTTTGGAATCCTAGAATCAGAACCATAGCGTTAGAAAGAACCTCAAGGGTCATCTAATCTAACCTCCTGCTAAGATGCAGGATGTGTTGCGTCTAAAGCCACATGCCACACAGTCATCATGTGAATTATTACCCTCCACCCCCGTGTACTCCCGCAAAGCAGTAAGATATGGATTTTACATCAAGCCGGATTTTACATCAAGCCCCCAGTTGTTGAATTACACTTGCACAGACCTGTTGAACAGCAAACACTTCACCTAAAAACAGGTCAGGTTTCCTGCAATGTGTGCTCCTTATCGGGAGCAGTCTCTCTCTGTCTCAGGAACACAGTGCTCATGTGTCAGATCAGCAGCATACATGTTTCAGGGCAAAATAGGGGTGGGTGCAGCAGAGCCGACAGCCTTTGAGGGCCCCTAGATAAGGTGCAGGGGGAGGGCAGATTGGCTCCATGCTCCCAGGAGGGGTGGGTCCAAGGGCAGCTGGCCTTCAGCTCTTCCCAGAGAGTGGCATGTGCCAGCTCTCAGTGCTGCCCATAGCACATAGCCTGGTGCTCCAGCAGCAATTTAAATGGCCTGAGGCTCTGGACAATGGCAGTTGCCCAGCCCCTTTGTATTGCTGGGCAATTGCCCCCTTTGCCCCCTCCTTCCATCTGTTGGCCTGGGAGGGCATCATCCATTAAAAACAATCATCTGCTGTTGAACTAAATGCACCCCACTGCATGCATGAGATTCCAGAGAGGTGGAAAGACTCATCACAAAGCCTTTGTGCCGCAAGAGCCTTGGTGTATCCTTGCTTCCGCAACCATCAGACTTTTTTTTGTTTGTTTAAAGAAAATCTGCTACATCGGTGCTGTCCACAAACACTATAGTTCTGCTTGCTAGCATGTATCGCAATTAGTCCCCTTACTCACAAACATCACCCATCCTCTCCACTGTCCTTTTATTCCTGTGAAATGCTGTGGAGATGGCTGCATAACAGTTCAGCTCCGTGGGTGCAAACTTGATGCCCACTGCTGCTTTCTGTACGGTTTTCCCACAAATTGCACCAGCCAGCCCTGTTAGCAGCTGCACCATGAGGTCCCACGGAGAGACAGGCAGAGGTGGCCCTCATGCAACCACCACAGGGTGATGAAAAGGGGCTCTTACATGTCAGACATGCCAGTGTGGCCCTGCCTGGCCCAGTGAAGACTCAGCAAATGCCTTCCTGTCCTGCTCATTCTACTACTATCCCATTTCCTCAGCAACTTGCTTGCCTGGCTCCGTGTCCCTCCTATCTCAGGAATATTTAGTCACACTTCACTACCTCATTAGTAGCTGACTTTTTTGGGTTTGTTTAGAGTAGGCACTGATTAAAATTCAGCACCGGCTAGTCCCCTGGTGGCCTGGTAATGATGACTTAAGAGTAGGTTTTTCTGCTTAAGTATCATTTGCATCTTTCTTGAATGGAAAATATACAGCCAGTCCTGTAGCTGTATGGTGATTTTCATAGCCCAAAGAAGGGTCACAGACCCAGATGCAGGGAGACTAAAGAAGTGGCGTAGCACACTAAATATTGATCAGAGGATTGGCCTTCCTTAACATGTATCAAAGAGTGTTTATTGGCCTGTGGGAACATTAACAGTATAGAAACAAACATTTCCCTCACCCATTCTTCCCCCCGGTAAGTCTGTGGAGACCAGACCAGCAGCTGTGGTGTCACTGGCCCCTAAGGACTGAGCTGCGCTAGGATTCTCAGTATTGGTCAATAGTGCAGAATCTAATTACAATGTAAATGATAAACTACTGAACTCTAGTAACAGGAAAGACTGTTGGTTTAACTTACCACTCCCCAAAGACAGAATGCAGGTTTCTCTCTGACTGGAGCTAACGATGGAAAGGAAGGCACAGAGAGAACTGCATGCCTTAATAAAATGGCTGTTCTGAATGTTCAGTGCTGTGAAAATATACTTTTCTCTGGAGGGTTACTGTAGTGCTGTGATGAGCATCCCATGACTGGAAATATACAGAAACATTGCCTACCTCTCAGGAGATGATCAGTAGTGCACTTCCTAAACCCCAGCCGTCTCTTCTCTTTAGATTGTAAACGGTGCAGGGTGGGGGGGGAGGGACAAACCTTTGAGATTCCCAATCTTCACAGACACTTCTCAGTAATTCTAATTAAAATATTGAGAGAGAATGTTCCGACTGCCTGCAATCACAGGAATTCCATGCTCACAGCCCTCAAATGTAGTTCCTGTAGCTGCTCTCACAAATAGCCAGGATATGTCTGCTTCCACCCTATCCTATCCCTAGTATGTAGTGGCGTAAGCAGCTAACATGACTGCTGCTTAATGGATTGGTGTTGTAGGGTCACTTTATGTTTTAGCTTCAGTTCCTATCCCACATCATAAATGAAGAGATGGGGCGTGGGGGTCAGTTAATATTTTTTCTCTCCTGTGCCATGACAGGAAAGGGAAGCTGAAGCAGGCCTGACCTCCATGGCGTGACAGAAGAGGAGAAGGGGGCAACTGAGTCAGAGCAGAAATGGCAGGAAGACATGGCGGGGAGGTGTGGCCCAAACTCTGCTAGCAGCTGCAGGGGATACAGTCATGGTAGTTCTGTACTAGCTAATTTCTAGTATAGCACTACTAGTGATATAGCCACATAATATTTACTTTATCAAAGGGTTTTGCATGATGCTTCTGACCACATTGTGCAAAGGCATTTCTGCTTGAAATGGAAGTTAAAAATCTCATTAATCTAAAACCTTTTTAAAAAAAGTGTTCATCTAAATTCACTAAAAACGTATGCTGTTTCTCTCCCTGCCCCCGCGTGAGTGTCCAATTTTTGAGCAAACCCCACAGTATATTTTTTGCAGTTTTGAATCTTGGATTTCAAAGTTTCTTGTGGTTGAACATCCTGTCACGTTGTTGAATTTTCCATCTTGTCAGCTCGCATAGTTTTTCTAATGTGAAAAACCCACTTTGCAGAAATTTGCTGAAAAAATGACCCTGAAGTGCAAATGGCCTGGAACGCAAAAACAGCACAGCACCACAGTTTCTGAAGAATCTTATTCAAAAAGCATAATTGCTTTCATCCAGCCCTAGTTATATTACATACATTGGCCTCCTGTTTCAGTGAACACTAGGCTCTCACAGCTAGTCAATGACTGTGTGCAGGAAATAGAACTCAGGAGGAGTTCTGACTTCCAGTCCCCAGCTGTAACCATTAGCTCTTGTTAATCATGCTGGCACACTGGAGTGGACACTTCATGTGTTTAAAATCCTGGAATTAAAAATCTCTGTGGCCATTTAAGGCCACTCCCCATTTGCCATAAGCTTCTGACTAGTCTAATTGACTTCAGTTGGTTTTGGCTCGCTCTGTACAGCCTGAGGTTTTTAAATCTTTTAGTACAATAGAGCTTAGACATTCTGTTCTCCCTTGTGTTAGTCAATTATAAATGTGACATCTGCTGTATCAACATAATGTGTTAGATTTTATGTTTCAAATCCTTGCCTAGACCAAGCCTCCTGCATTAGAAAAGGCATCAGAGTGTTGAGATAAAAATTTGTATTTCTAGGAGCAAATACCAATTTTTTTTTTTACTTCAAAACTGGAATTGTTATGTTAAAAAAGGAAACTAAACAATCGACATAAGCATACTTGCTGAGATTCTGAGTGGGTGTAAATCAGCATCCTTTTGAAGCTATGCCAATTTACATCAATTAAGCATCCAGCTCTTCAGCTCGAGGCATACGGTATTACACAGGATAATTTACTGTATATGGGCCAAATCCTATTTGTTGTACTCATGTTGGAAGATTCAAAGAAGCCCTGTGATTGAAGGAAAAGTCCCAGACTGTCATTAAAACAATAACCTCATGAACACATAAAATGGCCCACCCAGATACAGTGTCTTGTTATATGTATTTCCCCCTCTCACTGTGCTTTTGTATAAATGATTGTCAAATAATAAACCTGCAGAATATTTTGTGGCTTGGGCAGTCTCTTCAACTTCTCTCCAGTTTAGTCAGCACTTTTGTTTCAGTCTAGATTTCTGGTGTGTGCGCAAGTGTGTGTGTATATATATTTGTGTTCATGCTGTATATTTACATATGTAGGAACAATTTCATTTCATCTCATTCTTTGGAAATACTTTATGTATCTCTCTCTTTCCCCCCATGCATGTGTTTTGTATTTCTTCTTTCACTTCTTTAAATTCCTCATGGTAAATAAACCCCCAGGGAAATCCTGTGAACAGCATGCAATTTTCAGATGCTCTATAAAAGACATTTCAAGGTAAAGATTAATCCAAATATACTCGATTAATGGAAAAGAAAGTTTAGTGTGAAGTGCTGTTCCAAATATATATATATATTAACTCAATGTTTACCTGAATCGGTCAACATTTGTTATGACCAGTGATTAGTGTCAATGATTTTAATGTAATTTTAAACTATTTTTAAGAAAATGGACATTCTAAATGTAACTTCTGCCACACTATTTGACAGGTAAACCGCCTGTCTGCCAACTCCTCTTTCATGCTCCTTTCATATTATTGCTTTAAAATTTTTGTTTCTGCAGGAAAAGAAAAACAATTTTTACATTCTCTTTCTACATATGGTATTCGTTAAAACAGTACAGTGAAGCCGGTTGTGGTGAATATGCTTTTTAAATTTTTTCTTATATACTGATGCAAAAATTAAACATATTTACTGTGTCCCTTTTGCTTGCAGTATATTTCCTTTTTTTAAAAGCTCCATTTGTGTTCAGCAAGACAGCCTCTTTTCTCCAAGATTAACATTTCTTATGATTGTTCCTGACAGAGGATTTACTTTCAGAGGCCCTGCTAAGGATAACCAAAAAAGGGCATGTAGCAAGACACTTTTGGCAGCTTGCATGAATTTTCGGAGCTTTTTAGGTCTTGGCTTTCTGATGAGTGGCTTCCTGAGCATGCCTAGGGAATGACAGGCATCTCTGCAGGCAGGCTGGACCCACCTTGGCTCAAGCGTAGTCATTGGCTGCTTATTAGAATAAATTGAGAACAATGCATACCACTGGCTGCCAATTGTAAACATAAGGGATATGTAGTCACTTAGCATTGACTTTTGGGAGGGGCCAAGAAAAGTCTGTAGTTTTATTGAATAGGGCTGTGTGTTAGGCTGCTGGTGTACCTTTCTTGCTGTGCTCCTGCCTAAACAGCCAGTTATTCGTTTCCTTCCTACTAGTTGAAAACTTTTCAGCTGCAGAGGTAAGGGATTAAGATCCTCTTTTTTTCCTCCCCTTCCCAGTGATCCGATTTGACTGCATTTGCTGCTTAACGTCTGTCCACAAGGCATGCTAAATGTAACAGAGCTGTGGGAATATAGTAAAAGTTCCTTCCTGCTGCCTTTTCCCCTTTCAGATGTCCATTGTGAACCACTGTTAGTGAGAGCAGATTTTAAAATTTTTGTTCTTCACGGAGATGCATGCTTTGTGTAGTGAGTGCAATTCCCAGGCGGTACGGAAAGGCTTCTCGTGGACAGGATAAACCATTGTTTGTTTGGAGGGAGGCAGAAACACAGTTGGGCTAGAATTAAAGAGGTGGTACCACACAGTGGTAACAAAAGCCTATTCATGTTTCCTTTGAATGTGCATTTAAAGGAGTGATTGGAATACGGTTCTCCAGGTTAACAGAGAGAGTTGTTTTTTATTTTTCAGCCTAAGAACTAGATTATGAAAGCAGAAAAAATCTGTAGCAGGCAGGGAAAATATTGTCACTGATCTGATGTTTGCTGAAACAGATGTCTACGATGGCTAGCTTTCAGAAAAGTATTGACAAGAGACTGCATCCGTTTTTGTTTTCGGACTTATCATGCATATTGCCAGAATGTTTCTTATGAAGCAGGCTTTCCTGTATAAAGAAAGGATGGGGGTTGGAGGGACGGGTCTGTTCATGGGTGGGACTGGAGCTTTGTGTGTGTGACTTCCAGAAAGAGAGGAAGCAGACTTTCATTTCAAGCTACTTTTGACATGCTGATACGGTCGTATTGTGCAAGCCTTGTAGCTGATGCTAGTGATATTTTGTGTAGCATGGAATTCCTCATAGGAAGGAATGATGGGGGCATAAAGATAGATGGGAAAGATTAGCTGTGGAATGATAAAAGACTGAGGGGGAGGGAGAGAGGGAGGAAAACTTGATAACTCCTGACCAAACCCACAGATCTCGCAAAGATGATTATTCTCCCATGCCCTATTTCATATATTTGTTGCAGGGATGCATGACATATATTTTTAAAATGGCTTTTCTATAGCATGTGGCTTCTTCTGAGGGCTTCATGTTTGTGGGGGGATTCCCCCTCCCCCCGCCCACTAAAAGGCTTTTTGGAGAATATTCTAAGAAAATGGCACTTTTTCCCCTTGGAAACATCTGGAAGAAACAAGCTATGGCAAGAGTATTCTAGATGAATTTTTTAGTACAACTAAGCATTAAATACGTCTGAGACCAGCAGCTTCTCTTTTTCTAATTTTATTTACAGGTCGGGGAGTGTAAGCAAGCGTGCCTATACACACATTTATTGCAATGCTTTGCATTTGGTTTGGGAAGTATCATAGGATCCTGTAACTGCTTTCTCCAAAGCCATCAAAATGGACTTTTCTTGACCTGCATTACAAATACATTGAAAGCTGTTTTATGTGGGCATTCTAGGGACCGGCAAAAAAAAAAAAAATTACTTGATTAATGGAAGAGTCTTTCTGAAAAAGGGGCAGTAGAGCTATTTTCAAATTATCTGGGGAAGCTTATGGGTCTGTCTTCAGACATCTGTTTAAGGAGAATAATTATGTTCAATAAAACCTCTATATGTGAGGCTAGTGTCTGGCATTTGGTTGTCATGATGGTATTGGGAGAAATAGATTGGATAGGTTGTTTGAGAACAGAAGGCAAATTGAAGTAATTTGTCTTTCCTGAAAACTTCTCATGGTTGCACCATGAAATGACAAGTGACCCAACCCAATCCTGCAGCCCTTATTCACCTGATTGGTCTTAGGTGAATTCAGTATATTCAGTAACAAATATAGGTTCAGACTCAAAGACAGCTGATGTAATGATTTGCCGCATCGAAATATACTTTGGCAATGAACAATGTGAAAGTATATTGAAAAAGGAAAAGCTTTTCCTGCAGCTGCTACTTTATACTACTGCAATGCTACCTTTCCATACTGAACATCTTAAAAGAATGGAAAACACAGTATTTTATACTCAATATCGTTATGAAACGTGCTGAATTTTACGGGGCAGGTGGTCAGTTCTTTTTCATGCAAAGTGATGCAGAGGGGAAAAGATGCACTAAAATGGGGGTTTCTGTGTTCCTCAGTGCCTCGTTTACAGGCAACGTGTGGGGGGTTGCAATAGGTGTATTTATTAGCAGTGTTTCATATCAGAACAAAGTGTGGAGGGCAGTATTTTGAATTCCCAAATGTGGGGTAGGGATGTGAAGGTTTAACTAGTTAACTGGTGTGCCTCACCCTTAAGAAAAAAGGCTTTCTAGTTAAGGGTAACCAGTAGGATTTGAGCAGTTCCCTTCCTACTGCAGGCAAGGGGCTACACCAGCCCCATGGGGGATGGGGGAAAGGGAGAGGGGCACTGTGGATAGGGGCTGCTCTGGCATCCCTGCTGGTGCAGCCCCTACCAACAGCGAGGCGGGGGGAGGCATTCCACAGGCAGGCTGAAGCGGTCCTGCCACTCACCACCCTTTGTCAGTCAGCTGATTATAAAATATGTTTAACTGGTTAGCTAATTAAATGGAATTTACATCCCTACTTTGGGACTGGTTAAAGGGCTCCTCTGTACAGGGGAGAGGACATAGTGGCAGTGAAGGAATAACTCACCTAATTGAATAGCAATGGGGCCGATGACTCTAAGAACTAGAAGCAGCACATGAGCGGGGGTGGGAAATAATTTTTTGGGGGGGGGCACTCCAAGAATTTGGAAAGTGATCGAGGGCTGTACTCTTCCATATTAATAGAGGAGGTGCAGGGTCTGGGTGCAGAAGGGACCTTGTGGTAAGGGATTGAGGTGCAGGAGAAGTTGTGGTGTCTGGGAGGGTGTTTGGATGACGGAGGCAGTTGTGACCTGGGTTAGGGGACTAGTTGCAGGGGTTTGGTTGTGACCTGGAGAAAGGGACTAGGGTGTAAGAGGGAGTGGAGGGATTTGGGATGTGATCTAGGGCAAGAGGGGGTTGTGACCTGGGTCAGGGGTTTGGGGTGCAGAATCTGGAAGGGGATATGGGGGAAGGAGGGGACAGAGGGTTTGGGTTATGTGAACTGGAGGGGCAGATGGTTGGGCTGCAAGAATCAGGCTCTGGCTGGGAGACTTACCTGCTTGACTCCCTGCCAGCAACCTTCTCAATCAGATTCCCTGCGTACCCTGTCCCCACGCTGGCTGCAGGAGCCATGTGATCTTTGAATAGCTATGAGCCTGAGGAGAGGAGAGGAGAGGAGAGGAGAGGGGAGAAGGGTGGGGGCAGCACATGAAGCGCCTCCTCCCTCCCCCGGGCTCATAGCTGTTCAAACAGAGCCCCACAGTGGCTGCTTTTCTCAGCAGCTTGTGGGGGGCAGGCAGGGAGTCTGCCTGAGGCCATGGACTGGATCTGGTAGCTTGGTACAGGTATTTTGCCCAGGTCTGTAATAGGGCAATAAAAATGTTGGGCTTTTTTTTTTTTTTTTTTTTTTTTTTTTTTAAATGTGACATGGGTGCCAGTTACATTATTTGAACTGCACGTCTGTGGCCCCCTATGGGGCCACAAGCAGGTTTCAGGGCTGTGCCAAAATTGAGCTTCTGCTCTGGGTGGCAAGGTATGGGAGTGGGAGCTCCAACTCTACCTTCAACTCAACTCCGCAGGCCGTTCAGCTTGTCTGGGTGGGCCAGGGCAGAGGTGGTGGCAGTAAACCAATAATTGCAACATCACTGCAAAAGAAAGATCTCCCCCGGCTATCATTAAGTGTTGCCTCACAGCCATTGACTTCATGGACAGGCAGCAGCTAACCAAGGATTCACACCACTGCTCTGCCCTGGTACATCAGCACTTCAGGGAGCAGGACTAAATGGAAGGCAGAAAGCTGGGTACACGTGACCTCCCCATGCATCACCTGTAGTTGGGAGTCCACAGGTTTGTCTATGTAAGTTTAGAGGTCCCTGGGTAAAAAAAAAAAGTTCAGAAACACTGCTAAAGCAGGAGCATTCTAGTACTGCTCCCACGTCTTCCCATACACAAGTGGAGATGCTGCAACCACTCGACTGTAATGAAACTCTGATGCATGAGTAGATATGGAGAGCATCAGTGCACAGCATTGCTTAACAGCCATGGCTAACCTTATAGGCTACTGTCCTTCCACACTTCCTCCTGACTACTGGTGCTATGAGCAGAGGTTTATATGGACCAGAGGCGCCAGAGTACACTGCAAAAAATCTAACAAACTGGGTATGCTCTAAAACATGCTCTTGATATTTCTGGTGGGTTTGTTTTTTAAAGTGGATCATACTGCTGGGAAAGAAGCAGAATGCAGTTAGTTCTTTCCCCCCCCCCCAACACTACCCCCATCTTCCCCCTTTCCTAACGGCCTCAAGACCTCGGCCCCGGG